CGGCAGACTGTAGTGCCCTCCAGGACTCCCACACCGCAGTCACGACCGTTGTCCGTCCGGCGCTGCTCTGTACACCCCTGCACCCTGCCCCCTTCCCCGCCCACTCTCATCCGCTGCCCATTTCCGGTGTGCCCTTTCTCCTCTTGCCTTGCCCTGCGCCGCCGCTGCCGGCCCCGTCCTGCACTGTCCTATGGACCCTATCCATTTCGCCCCTTCTGTCTTCTGCTGTGTGTCGTCCGCTTTGTTTAGCTCCCCCGCATCTCGCCCTCCCGCTTCGTCTGCGCATTACCTGGTCTCCGTGCTGCTCTGCAAGCAGTTGCTCCGCCTCGAGGCCCCACCTCTGCCCACAGCTTGGCAAATACTGTGCGAACGGCACAGTAGGATATTCCTACTCTTGAAACAGTATACTTGATCGGACATGGACAAGGCAAAGGGGACGCCGACACAAAGAAGGGGAGTGCATGAACATCCACGCTTTTCTAATTTTTTCTGTTAATCTCCTATTTTTTCTGATTTCTTTTTTTGAGGTTGTGGATCGATCTGTGTGAGAAAAGTGTCCCTGGCACAGTTCCCGGCGTCTTGCCACTCACCAGAGGAAGAAGGGCAGCCAGCAGGCGAGGAAGGCCGACATGATGATGCCCAGGGTGCGCGCCGCCTTGCGCTCACGCTTCATCTTGCTGGAGGCGAGCGGCTGGATCTCGGGGTCCTCGGGCACGGACATGCCGCCCATGCCGAAGCCCACCTCGCCCTGGGCGCCCGGCAGCGACGTGATGCCCGCCGTGATGCCGTTGATCTGCAGGTGCTTGTTGAGCAGCGCCGCCGCCACCTTGCTCCTGGGGGGCAGACGGAACGGAGAAATCATGGTTAGTAACGAGCAGGACACAAAAGGGTAAAAACGAGGTGGAGTAGCTAAACCAATAGCCAAATACATGATAACTCGAAAACTATGTAGCTCAGAATTAGCTACAGCTTGTTTTTTGCTACATGGCTGAAAAATTTGGTAAAATGTTAGTACATGTTGGTTCAGCTACTACAGCTTATTTTTGTTTCAGTTCAGCTCCTGTCCGAACATGGACCAACCGCAATTAAGGGCTAAAGGCTCTGGATGTGAAACCCGGCGATTGCCAGAAAGCTTTGCTGCGCTATACGCGCTGGAAAAATTTATGACTTATGACTTAGGGCAATCGTGTTAACACTTTTGGAAGTTGTAGTTTTGTTGTGTCCTGTGAAAGATCCAGCAGAATTTTTGAGCGTGTGAGCGAGATGAGCTTAGAAATAAATGCCAGCGCCGCGCCGGTGTCTCTTTCGCCCTAACAGACTGCAAATAGCGCTGTCTCTCTCTTGCCCGAAGCCCGGCCGGCCGGCTGGCCGGCGGCGGCGTGGCGTGGCGTGGCGCTGCAGCGTTGTACCCTGCCAGTCTGTGTGCGGAAGCCGCGCCGTGTGGCGACGTGTGAACGAAAATCGTGAGTTGATGAAGTTTGTGTGGTGTCATTATGGAGAAGAATCTAGATGATACCCTGGTGTCGTTTGGTGCCCATGCCGACGTCTTCGGTCTATTTCAAGGTACGTCCTCATCATAAATGTGGGAATCAGTGTTTGTTATGGAGGTTAGGGTCAAGCGGTCGTGACCGTGACAGTAGCTGCTTCTGGCTTTGTCCGCCAGAAATAAAGTGTCACGCAAATAGCGTTAGCTTCGTCGAGGCATATTCTATGACTGGAGAGAATAGCTGGGACTGGTGTTTGAAAAACGAGCTGAGCTACTGCACGGGGGCGACCGCGGTCCGTGTCGGCGGCTGGGTGCGCTGGGTGCCATCCGCTTGTTTCTAGGAAGGATGCGTACGAAACGTATAAGGTAGTGTGTACGTGTTTAGTTGAGGCCGATTTGCGTTCGTGTGCTGGCGTGGGGCGGGAGCGTGCGTTATTAGGGTGTTTGGCTGCGGGGTACGTCAATAAACGCACGTGGGGAGGGGAGGCGTGGGTGCGGGTGAGAGAGCCCCCCCCCGCTGCTGCTTGGGTGACATCGCTCGAGCTGCGTCGTTCGCGTGAGCCTGCCTGGAGCCGCCGACGGTGCAGATCTTGGTGGTAGTAGCAAAAAAGGCTTCGTGGTCGAAGATTTTTGCCCGATAGGGTATTCCGCTACAACACAATCGGAACCTAAAGAAGAAAATCATGACTACCCGATCTGTTTCCTCCTGAACGCTGATTGGCCAAAGATGGCGTGGCTGTAGCGGTCAGCCAATGAGCGCGCAGAGGGAAACAGATCGAGCAGTCACGCTTTTCTTCTTTAGGTTCCGGTTGGCTTGCAGCGGAATACCCTATAGGGTATTTCACCCAGCTTAAACCGGATCCAAAGAAGAACAGTAATGCTTCCTGAACTGTTTCCTCCTTGACGCTCATTGGCTCACGCGGACGAAGTTCTCGGACCCGTCACTAGGGTAGTCACAGCCCTGGTGGCGGGTCCGCGAACCTCGTCGGCGTGAGCCAACCGAGCCAATGGGCGTCAGGAAGTATTGCTGTTCTTCTTTGGATCCGGTTTAAACTGGGTGAAATACCCTATTTGTGCGTAACACATCCGATACGACAACATAGGTCGCCAGTGCAACAACAGACATCATCTGCACTTCTTTCAAAGCGGAGCCGAGCGAGCTTCGGTCGAGCCCGGCTCGATTTTCGGCTTTGGAAGGAATTGTCATTGTTAGTGCATCCCGATGTCGGATCGAGACGCCACTTACAATGGACCTTCGTTATACTCTTCATATGTCGTCGTGCTTTTCCGGTTCGTGAAGTGGTTCTCCCACATTAACTTGCCAAAGTCAGCCGTTTTTAGCGGCAGTTCCGCGCGACAGAGCATCGCTCCAGTCGCTTGGCTTGCTCTTCGGTGTACATACGCACGTTTATGAGCGCACATTAAAAACTCTTTACAGCTGAAAGCAGAATTGACGATGTGTTGAAAGGTCGTGGGGGAAAACGCTTCAACAACTTTTAGCAACACAGTGTGAGTGAGAGTGTGTGTGAGAGAGAAAGAGACAGAAGAGAGGGGGAGGGAGAGAGACACGTCAGGCACCACGCCCTCCCACCGCCGGCCGCCGCAGAGGACGGACAGGTCGACGGACAGGACAGAGGGGGCGACTTCCCCCCTCGGAGCCCGCGGGAAGGGCAGAGACCATATGGACAGGTCGTTCGTAACAATTTCTGTCTCCGGGCGTGTCGTGGCCAGGAGGTGTGCGGGGGGTGCCGAGGCGGACAGGGGGGCCGCCCTCTGGACGGGTGGGGCAAACCTCCCCCCACCCCCTAAGATCCCCAAGCCCACCCGTCTACGACGTCCCTCCGCCGGCCAGGTGTAGTGTAGCGGCTGCACTTTTCCATCCCTTTCGCTTCGGCCAACCGCCAGCCTCTCCGGGGGTTCGCTTTCTCCTTCCTCCGCCCACTGCGCGCGCGCCGCTGGCACTACTCTCCGCCACCCCACGTGGTGGATCCAGTCAGTGGGTCGAGGTCGCCCCCCCCCCCCTTTCCTCCTCCTCCTCCTCCTTCCCGAAGGGCTGGCCTACCCACTTACTACGGCAATCACGCGGGAGCAGTCGCTGGCCGCGCTTCCTACACTATCCCCTCGGCTGCCCCGCTGGCCCGGCGCTCGCTGCAGACACTGCAGCAACCCCCTCCCCCTCCACACCCCTGTGCGCATCAGTTTACGTAGCCAAGACTGAGATGCGAAGCGTCCACGACCTCGGTCTTGTCTGTACGTGGTGAGCGACGTACGGAACGGGGAGATTTAAGACGCTCTTTTGCGCAACTCTTGAATCTATGCGTTCATTTTCCCGGCCGCTTGTTCGGCGTGTCCTCTGTTGTGTTTGCAGTCAGAGTGTATTTAGTACTCGCCGCGACCATTGTGTGACGATTATCCCCACGACGACGAGCCGCGCATCAAAGTTATGGACGCCATAATCGTAGTTTTGCCCGCGCGGTATGGCGCTTCGCTCTCGCGCTTATGAAGCGGCGCGGGGAGCGGGTCGCATCTTTCTTCTTCTCGCACGCCCCCTCCGCCCACCCCTTCCCTTCCCCCGCACTGCCGCGCGCGCGCTCCGCTCGCTCGCCGCCGACACGCCGCGTTAGGTCCTAATGAGCTTAGTGCCAACTCGTGCCGCACGACGGCCCGCTGGGGCGTAAGT